TTAACGTTCACTGCAATTTGAAAATCTGTTGCTGCACCCAGAATATTGAATCACATCAAGTAGATATGCTGTATTGACATGAATAAAAATTCTGGCATCAGTTTAACATCAGAAAACGAGTCGGAAGAAACTGCTGACGCGAACCTGCAGGGACCTTGGGTTTGCCAATTACGAGTCCTGCTGATGAATAATTGGGTTTTTCTGCTACAGTGGAGCTTTAAAGGGACTTTAATTATACATAAAGTTTTACACCACTGCATAAAGATACTAGTGTAGTTCTGGAAAAAGTGAGATTAAAGTGAAACCAATCATTTGACATGAATGTTGCTCAGTTTTCATTAAGCTATTCCAGAAACATCGTTGGTGGATGGTGAATTATTGTTCTGTCGGCGTTACTGTCAAAACAGTTGAGTGGTGAGCACTTTTTGCTCTGGGCTCACCTGACACTTGTGAGATGTAACAAGAACAAAAAAAAAAAAAAAAAACACAAAAAGTATATGCCTAAGCTTTTAATGCAAACAACCACATGATTTTTGTTTTGTTTTGATTTAGGTTGTCCAACTTTATTTTTGACTTTGCCACAATTTCGTACACTAAGATTGTGCAAAGAGAAACTGGTTCTGAGAGGGAAAACATGGGTTTTAATAGCCAAACAATACACAGTACTGGAGTAAATAGCCAACAACATTGTTTAAAACCCGGATGGACTTCAGTTTGCTCCTCCAGTTTCAGATTATTTCTCCAAATGTTGCCTTTTTACGGCCTTCATTTCACATTTTCCTCATACATCTCTTAAGTAAATTGCTGCTCCTAAGACCATTTATTATTTATGGATAACATGAATGCATCCCAGCAGAACTCTTTGTTTTAGACAAATGTCAGTAGAAAAGAGATGACGTCCCATCCCCCTTTAAGCTCTTTGTGTTGTGTCCATAATGATCCAGGTCAGATCAATCCATCTATTCCCTTCCTTTCATCGGTTTTGAAAGGCACTGTGAATGTTGTAGTAGTTAAATCAGTTTTGTGGTACCTGAAAATATGTCACAGATTTTTAAGTGGCTTAAAAAAATCCTAAGAATCAAGCACCACGCTGCCGTGGTGTGTATTTTGGGTTGGTTGCACAAGGTTTCCTTAACCATTTTCCAAAACAGACATGTCTGAAAGCATCATAAAAAAACACTGGCATATTTCTAAAAAAAAAAAAAAAAAAGGAAAAACAGGAAAATATCCGCTGCTCTCCAGAGAGGAATCCACCAACTGACTGAGTCATCTGCTACAGGCGGAAAACACGTACAAGATGACTATTAAACTAAGTCAGGATCACGGATGACGCAGTTCAGCTGCATTTATGATCTTGGTAGCTCAGGCGACAGAGTCTGAGGGCTGCAGTGATGTCATACCTGGAGAATAATGAGGCCCAAAATGACAGCATAGTCAATTATAATTGGTTTTAAACCAATGCATCCTAAGCAGTACCTTCCTTCAATTGAAGCATTACATTTGATAATGATCCCTCTTTGGGGTGTTACAGACATTCAGAGACTTCAAACTGTCCCCTGCAAGCCAACGGGAAGGGAAAGTCCACTTATCTAATGTACAAACTTCAACGATCCACTAGAGAGCTCAAGCTAAGTTCACCTTAACTCTACGGTGAATCTCCCATCTGTCTTTCCTTTAATTTGATCACATTAGACCAAAGTGGGATAATTTATTTTGGCAGAAGAAGAAGAGCCACTCTAGAGTCTTTAATACTACAGTATGGTCAGAATAATGTGTCATTTGTCAAGACACTGCTATAAAAAATTCTAAAAAAGACTCAGTGAGTTACAGAGTGCACAGAAGTGGATACAAACAGCTAACTGTAGCTCAGAGGTAGACAGATAAAAAAAAGAGGCAAAATTATGCTTGACACAATGTGAAAGAACGCTAAGAAAAACAATACCAGACTGGACATAAAAGAATAAAGCATACCACAAAAACGAAGGACCATAATGTGAAAATAACCAGAACTTGCAAAATTTACTACTGTGCCTCAATCAATGAACAAATGATAAAATTCAGAGTCAATGGAATCCAGGTGATTCCTGTTTTACTGTTGACTATGCAGCAGTAGCTGCATCAGATGGAAAAGCCCCCACCCAGTGCCTATTGATAGCACATCTAATTAGCTGCTTATCTGTGGGCCCCAGAGGCTGACAGACAACAGATTAGAAATCAAAAGGTATGTTGCCTTGCATTATGTTAGATAATGCAGACAGCTTTAGGAGAGCAATGTTGGCACAACCTCTGTTTTTTCTTCTCTTTTGCATTTTCTCCTGGGTTCAGTTTCGGAGTTTATTGCCTTGTAAAACTTAGGGAAACAGAAATCAATAGACATTTTTTTTTCTCTTTCTCATCATTGCATATTCTCTGCGGCTGCTGTTTTGGTCTTTGCCAATATGCAGTATGTCTTATTGGAAAAACAAAATTGTATATATTTTTTTGCCAATTGTCCAATTACAGGGTAAAAATGTGCTCAGGTGGCTCAAATATATGCATACATCACCACTGATGTTAGGTCAAACTTCTGTCATGGAGAGCTGGCACACCTTTAATTGGCCTCAACAAGCTACTACAATGCTAGCTGTACATTTGACCGCCCTCTTTTTCAAAAGTGGTAGAAATCATTAGAATTGGTTGGTTGGCACACAGAGGCTATACATACATCATCCTCCACAAATGTTCACTTTTAATGCAAACTTGACAATTGTCAAGTTTGGACTTTTAATGCAACTTTGCAATAAAAGTGTCATTATTTAGCAAAGGACACTTTTTGACAACAGAAGTTATTCATGAAGACTCCTTCATGCTCATGGCAGGTGTTACGTCATGTTTATGATAGTGTCATGTCAGTCTTATGCATACCCCTTCAAATAAAGTGCTACCAGTGTTTTGTCCATATTTTGACAATCTACCTGTTGGTTTGAGGTCATTTCAGTACTGCATTCATTTTGTGCAATGCACCTGTACAAATGGCAGCAGAGTATTTCCTTAGCATGATGCCACCTCCACCATGCTTAACAGTGTTTAGTTTTTTTGGGTTTGCAACCTTTTTATTATTTATCACATACTTCTTATGACCGGGGCCAAATTAAGGAGCATTTTTCTTTTTGTCTTAGAATAAAGTTTTTCTCAGAAGGCATGTGGATGGCCACAGATTTCAGTAGACCTTAAAAGTGTCACCCTCTTGTTCAGTGTTGTTGTTAACCCAGCTTACCTTGAACACTGACGCTGCATCTTCCAGTTTAGCAATAGTTTGAATCCCAGGGATTTCCTGACTAATTGCACTGCACTTAATAGTGTCAGTGTGAGTCAGATGTCAAATAGTGGTCATATGTGTAGCATGTTTCAAAAGCATGTTTCAGTGCTGAGAAAACAGCTTCTTTATGTACAATCTACCTTTTCACACTTTGAAAGTGGCCAAGCAGCCGTTCACAACCAGTTTCTCATGTCAAATTGATTCAGACCACAATGAAAAGTTGTCTTCAATGCAGCATTAAAAGCCCTGGTGTAAAAGGACTTTTAAGCAACACTATATTAAGAACAGTCTCCATACCTAAAGAAATTATTAGTTTTTCAGGACCTGAGGCCCAACAGAGGTTTTGACTTCATCATGTTGATCTTGTTGGAGTTTGCTGGTCCTCTTTCAGTGTCAGTATTCCCCCCCAGGGCTCTGTCAGGCTCCAACCTCCCTCTGCACATCGTCTGCCAGAGACTTCAGGCAGCTTTTCACGAGGGCCACTCGCGCACATGCAGCAGACTTGCCATATTTTCTGTTGATGTCTTAATATCATCCTCACTCCACCGCTCTGAGATCGAATTACAGTGCTGGTGTATCAAATGCACAGGGCACTCACTGTCTCCCACTGTAATCATTATCACTCTGCCCAACCTAAATCTGCAGCTTAAATCAAATGGCTGCAGCATCATGTTTTCTAATTTTTAGCTTAACTATTCCACCAACAATTACACCATTAGGGGTAAACATCCTCTGTCTCCAGTGCTAATGCTCAATCCCAGATCCATATTTCTCATTGAAAAAGAAAAAAAAAAAAAAGAATTAAATTACAAGAGCTAATAAATGTGGCTATCAGCACCAGAGCTAACTGTATAACAGTGAAATTGAGTCAGTCCTATCGTGTCTCTTTCTGTCATAAGTGTGGACTTGCAATTCTGGAAGCAATTCTTGGTGTTTCAATTACAGCTGCACAATTAATTGTCCATACCATGCTAATTTGCTCACCCTCATCTCCACAGTCCTTACACAAAGCAAATAAATTTGAAAGACTTGTCGTCTGCATTTTTTTTCCTTCTCTGGTTACTAATGCACCGTTGAAAGCGCTGCTCTTTTCACTGTATGCACAGCAGTCTGCCTCTGTCACAACTACCTGAACCAAACATACATGTAAGCATACTTTGAGTACCAAGCCCAAGATAACCAGCTTCTGGGTTTGAAATCTCCCCGCCCTCATGTTTTGGCTCAAGTTCTGTATTTCTGAGGAATTAATTTGTTTAAACCAGCTTGGCAGAATGAGATGGTACTAATTAGGCAGTGAATTTGGCAAGAGGAATTGGGCATGTGCTCCCACTGAAAGCTGCAATGTCTTTCGTTCTTGATGTGCAAATTTACAGACAACAAGCAGACTTTTTTCCCTGAAAGCAACACTTGATTTGAAGCTTTTTTGTTGTTGATTTCAGTAGTTATCCGCTGTGGCCGTCATATGCTACCTTTTATGACTCCATCACCGTTGCCTCTGGAGCGCTGACATTGAGTAGAAAGGGCTGTTTTATGAGATAGCTTTGAGACGATAGTTAAGCAAAAGCCAAAAATGGTCTCGAGGAGAGTATTGCTTTAATTTCAAATCGTCATTTTGCATCTTCTTTATGAAATCAGTGAAAGGTTTTGAAGCTACCTCTGCTGAATACAGATTCCATTTATCTCCCCCTTCCTCTCTCTGCAGTCGAGCAGCATGACCGACACAGTGATGAGCGGTGGTTCGGGTCGCTGGGTGTCCAACGACCGGCAGAGGAGCATGCGTCCGAGGTGATCCCACTTTTCACAATATTTATGCCGCTGTACCGCCTCTGAGTGGCCGCATCATGTTTAACTGTGTCATGCTTTGTTTCACCTGCATCTGTTTCTGCCGTGTGGTGTGTGGCACAGTGATAAAGAGCAGTAAGTAGTCCAGTTTTTCTATGTGCATTGCACGTTTCCATTGTGTGTGTCTGTGTGTGCTTTTATAAAGCAGCTATTTGTCAATATTCCCTGTGAGGGATTGATTTGTGAATAGAGCACCCTCCACACTTACTGAAACACCTGGTCAAGATGTGTTACATTGCATAATAAATTATCCTTTTATGGAAGTTGCGTCTTAGTAACAGCTAAAGTATACTCAGTGAGCAAAATCTCCACAATAAGATAATTGTTTGCAAAATCACACTTTCTGGTGCTCCTTAAAAATAATTCTGTGTATTTTTAAGAATCTGGAACTTTATAACAAAGTGGCAAACTTTGTGGTATGTTTATATCCAAAGTTGAGATTGATTAATTTTATTTGTTTATTTATTACATTTTGTTTTGTCTTGACTCTTAATTTACATGGGGTTTTATATTTGTTCCTAGACCTTTGTAATTCCCTTTGTGTTAAACTTGACTGTATGAAGAGTTTTTTTTTTCAAACGGTTTAATTGATTGTGATTATATTTCATGTTTCTGTTTCATTTATCTCATATATAGGTAATTCCATTTTTACTTGCGTTAATAAATGTTTGGATTATCCTGAGATTGTCCAACATGCACCTGCTAGGCTTCTGTCCTGCTCTTCTAGGTCACACCTTTACTGATTGCTTCTCTGTTCCACAGAGCATTCAAGTTCTGAATTTGAATTATAGAGTGCCGCATTATGATGCAGGATTTTATATTCCAGATTTTCTCCAAGGTCATGTCACCATCGTGGCCCTGCTCAGGGTCTGGTCTGTTGTTGCCTTCACAGTCTGTGGGGTCACTGGACTTCTTCAAGAAGCAGCTGAGATATCATCTGATTTGACAGGCATTTGGGTAGCACTGTATCTTTCTTTTATTTTTTTATGATTTTTATTTTATTTTAGCTTTTTAGTTTAATTTATTCTGACTTATATATTTGTGTCATTTTTGCTGTTTTACTATAAAGCATATTGTCCTTTTTTTTTATCTTGAAAGGTTTATTGTAAATAAATGTTTTCATTACGTTGTTCATGTTCTCGTGGGTATGAATAATAAATAATTATTGAGCGGTGAATCAGTGACCCATTTCTCTTAACCACTTGCCAAAATGGGAAAGACCATGGAACATGTCGCACCACTAAGACAGGTGTGTGTCAATATTCAGATTCTAGGAAGTGTTTCCAAGAAAATAGGGCCTTGCTCTGGTCATATCTGCAATCAGAGCAATAGTAAAAACAACTGGAACCCGAATTTAAGCTAACAAGACGATCAGAGACTCCGAGCAGTTGCTGCTTTCCTGTTCATGGACATGTAGCTCCATTCAGCCACGATACATTCATGCTGTGGGTTGTTCCAGAGATCGTAATTACTTATTTTTTGACTCTCACATTACGCTGCTGATGAATATTGTTGTTTGCCTCTCACTCTTTTAACCTGTGGAGTGAAGAGTAAATCAAAGAGATACCGGGACAATAAACTGTCTTGAGAAATTGGTCAAAGTGTTTCCTGTATGTATGCTCCAAAATCGTAAAATGTTATAGAAGACTCTATGCTGTACTATTACTAAGAGAGGACATTAACAGCAGTTATTTAAGTCAAACAATTTGGGATTTTCCCCACTCAAGAAGTGCATCACATTGTAGGTTTGATTTTACAAACTATTTCAGTGTGAGTTTGTGTTTAGGGTTTTTATACACCCTTACCAGAGGTGTGTGTGAGTGTGGAGGTTGCTTTGTAAATGTGTGATTTGAACTGTAAAAAACCTGAAGCTGAAATAAACTTAAGATTTTTGTTTGGTCAACAGGGGGAATTGGTCGATGCAGTCAGGCTCTGGTTCTGGTCCAGACCTAACAGATGAGGAGAAGGAGATTATAAACAATGTGATTGCCCGCGCTGAGAAAATGGAGGCTATGGAGCAGGAGAGAATTGGGTGAGAATTGCCAAAACATGCATTTAGGGATTTTCTTTTGCGTGCCTGTGTTTTCTCTTTTACATGAGTGGAAAGTTGAATAAAACCTCAAAATGAGACGAACGAGTCGCATAATTGTAGAGCCGAAATAATTACCAGCGGCATTGTGAGTTAGATTTAGCTGTATTGATGCTGCAGGCGCCTGATAAACCGCCTGGATGACATGAAGAAGACCGTGTGTGGGGACGGTGTTTCTCGCTGCCTGCTGTGTGGGGAGCAGCTAGGCTCACCTGGGGTCAGCTCCGTCGTGTGTGAGGACTGCAAAAAGGTAGCAATCGCAAAAGCACAAACCAGCAGCTCCTGTCCTGAAATGTTCCAAAGATGAAAAAAATTGCCTAAGCAGTCTTTAAATATGCATTTGTAACAGCAATACCTAATACCTTCTTATGTGCAGAACATGTGCACAAAATGTGGCACTCAGTGTGGCAGCCGAACTCGCCCTGTGTGGCTGTGCAAGATCTGCAGAGAACAGCGAGAGGTGAGAGCTGGCAGACAGAAAGAAAACGAACCAAAAAAGAAAAAAGAAACAGACTGTTGGGCATCCAATGATTCATTGGATATATTTCCCTGAGTTTTAACAACAAGGTCTCCTCAGGTGTGGAAGAGGTCCGGTGCCTGGTTCTTCAAAGGCTTTCCGAAGCAGTTCCTGCCGTCGCCCATGCCGTTGTCTAAACCGAAGGAGACAGCTCCTCAGGAGGCAGCAGAGCCTCAGAGGCCGACAGTGTCTGAGCCCAGGGAGGCAGCAGCTCAACCAAAGCCACCAGGTACAGGCCCATTCAGGCACCGCCTTGACTATCAAAAGATCACTTATGAGAAATGTGTTTTTTTTTTTTGTATCTTTTAGGTTCCCATCAGAGTCAGACTTCAGCCTCTGAGGAGCAAGTTTCAGGCAAGTGTTTATTTGTCTTTGTGTTACTTATGTAATGCTCATATAAATGCATATAATGTTATGTATATAGGGGTTAACATTCCAGGTCGATAGCCCTCAACTTAAAAGCTTCATCATATGAGTTTGAAGAAATTTCTCCATTGTGCCTGCTGCTAGCATGTGCTTGTTCTACATGAAAATCAGCACTTTCTTCTTTGATTTCCAACTTTGACTTCCAATGAGTCACTTCCTGGTGGTTGAAGAAAAATCCGCAGAAAAGCCGCACCGGGCTATAAGCCGCATGGTTCAAAACGTGGGAAAAATACAGCATTTAAAAAACTGCAACATGCTCTTTATGCCTCTTGTTGCACAAAGACCTTTTATCATCATCTGGCTGAAATGCTCTGCTTCACAAGGTTGGATTAGGTTCTATATTTATCTTGCCATCACACATTGGTAAGTGGGTGTTACAGGGGAGAAAAATCTATAAAAATCTTAGATTTTCCTTAAATATAGGGCTTTTCACACGCTGCTAGAAGAGCATGAGAAATTGACAACTGGGACTGTATCATGTATTCACAACAGGGATGTCAACAATTTTATTCCTTTTGACTTTGGAAAAGAAAAAAAAGTCTTCTTCCTCTTCTTTTAATGCTGCACAAATGTCCTCCGGTTAAAAGATGAGACTTTTCAGTGTATGCTTAAGCTGCTGGAGCGCATATTAAACTGATGGAAAATTTGGTGATTGTGCCACATTTGCACAGAATATTTGTTATTTTTTCGGTGTTGGGCAGGAAACTGATGTGAGGTCGCCCTCTAATCTAACAACTAAGCTGTTATTGAATTTGGCAACTTTAATGCTCCCTTTTATACATATTTGAATTTACTGAACACAGTGTATTACAGCACTTTTTATAGAATGGTCAGACTTTTCAGAGTCACATATATTTTGAACTGAAGATCAGAAAATGTAGTTAAGATTCGATAAAAAGACAATGAATTAGTTCTCCAATTTAGCACTCAGTGGAAAGTTGTCCATTAAAATCCAACTTCAGTTTCATAATCCGCCCTTCAGCTGACGCCCTCTGAAGTTTGATTCCCTGGGCGATGAGCCACGTCGCCCCCGTCAAAAACCACCTGCCGCCACTTCTCGATCTCCAGTTTCCACAAACCGGTGTGTTGTTTTGCAATTATAATGAACTTCAAGGTGACTGAAAATGCAGCATTGTGTTAAATTAAACAACGTATAGTGTTAAAAACTGAAATAAAAGTATGCTTGCTGGGTTTCACTCAAAAAGGTAAAAAAAAAAAAGTGGCTGCACAGCTTGCCACTTTTATTTTAAGATGTGCTGAGTCACTGCCAGATCTCATACAGTCTGAGAGAAAACACGCACGCACACGCACACGCACACACACACGCACGCACGCATATATACAGAGGCACAAGCAAAGTATTTCTCCGGTGCTGTCTGAAACAGAGAAATTTGTTTAAACAATATAATTGTACACGACCTGTTTACAGTCGTAATCTCTACTGTTAAGTGCTTTTCAACCAAAGCAAATCACCAATCAAATTTCTGAACAACATCATTCTCAGTGCTTTACAAACCAAAAGAGACCAACACAAGGAGTCACGCCTTTTTGTTATTATCAAGTTTCATATGGCACATGTTTCTTTTTGCTTTCATTCATGGACTACCTCTATTATGCAGTTGGTTCTACCATTTAACCCCATCTCACAGTGCTCTGTTTTCAATAGTCCAACTTTTTTTCTGATTCCCAAAGGTGGCAGGGCCACCCACTGCTGCTGTCGACAGGAATGAAGTCTTTCAATTAGCCGGTCAGGAGTTGCATGCTGGGATATGGAGCAAGCCTCCATGTGATGCTGCCCTTATGGGTCAAACAGCTTAATTTCAGTCTCAGTGCGATCTACCTGTGTTGTGTGATGCATAGCAGAAACATGAGGGATTGTCTTGCAGGCTGCTCGTTCCCCGCTGCTTTTTGTTTTGTATGTAGGTCATCCCCTTTGCAACGTAAACCCTGCGGCATTAAAATCTCCAGGAAGACGTGGCAGTTTTACAGATTGCGCTGCAGCACAGGGATGAGGTGGGGTGATTTTGCATTTTGGGAGTCTTTCTGTTTTCACTTGTGCACGGTTACTTTTAGGTGCGCAGATGCAGGCCCGTGCTGGTTACCCACCTGTGGCCCCGAAACCAGCTATGCGTATGGCTGCAGGGGGTACTGGCCCTGAAGAGGCAGGTCAGGGAAGTCCGGTAGTGATGAAGAAGATGGTTCCGGTGCACAGCTCCAGGGCACAACCTGCTGCTTCAGCCGCAATGTCCCAGCAGGGTGAGGAACAAAATATTTCTCTGTAGAGATGCAAGAGAATGTATATTTCTTAAAACTTTCCAACATTTTGTTGTGTAATACCCAAAAAGAATAATGTTTTAAATTGTGATTTAAAACTCTTCCATTAGGCATGGAATTAAGTTGAGGAGAATCTCAAAGTAGGGTTAGGTTACGAAACAATTTGCAAACCTTTTAAAAGTATTACTGTGAACCTACCAAGACTCGGTCATCTACCTAAAATGATGGGAGAGGCAAGAAAAGCATTATTAGGAGGAGCAGCCAAAAAACCCATACAGCTGCAGCTGCTGAGCTCAGGTTAGAGATTTATTGACTGGACAACTATTAGTAGTACGCTCCATAAATCTGATCTTAATGGAAGAACAGCAAGACGAAAGAGATTGTTGAAAGCAAGTCATACGAAGTCTTTCTGACGTGTAAGCCAAATGTTGCAGGGAACTAACACTGCACATTACCCTGAACATGGTATCCTTGGGATATACATCGGGCTGGACAATATGGCTGAAAAATGTATCACAGCATTAAGGTTTGTATTGGCCAATATTGATAATTGTTGATTCATTTTTTTATTTATTTTTAATATACAAAATTCTGGAAGCTGACGACATAATCTCTCCTGTTTTATCAACAGTTTCCTTTCAAGTTGTCTACACATTTTCCATACTGCTGTCTTTTATTTTTAAGCAGTTATAAGCCAGTTTGTTGCTTGGTATCCAAAAAGTGAATGAGTTAGTTGATACCACCAATCTTTTTTAGTTGGCCATGAGAGGTGGAAGCAGCGAAAGTCTTTTCTTTGCCTAGATCCCCAAAGAGTGTTGTCTGTATGGGCGGTGATATGGCATTAAAGTTTAATCACAATATATTGTGGTTTTATTATGACAACAATAAATGTGACAATAAGAGAAAAATATAGAGAAAAATGGTAAAAATAACAATCCTGACAATAAAAAAAGCCCTAAAATTGATGCTTGAGGGGTTTTAAAACATCAATTGGATTTTATTGTGACAATGACAAATCAAAATCTTATCGTGTTAAGACATTTATCACGATAAATAATAAATGATACAATTAATGCCCACCCCTAGCTGCCCAGCTCTCAATTGAAGTTCAGAAAAATTACTAGGCATTCTATCAGATGTTGTCCTGTTGCTATTGATCACCTGTCTATCACTATATATATTGTTAGTGATTTGCTGTTGAGCAGAGAGGCATACGTCCAGCCCTAGTGTCATGCTATAGGGACATCAGTGACAAAAAAGCCGGTAAGAACTAATGTGGAGATGGTTTGACTTAAATTCAGGGCAATCCTGAAGTTTGTGTTTGTAACCGGCCAAACTGTGGGATTTTGAATACTTTTGGACGACGTGCCAGTCACTAACTTGCTTTACCTGTGGTGTCACTTCCCTTAATAGGTCCTGTGGCAGGAGACGTGGGTGCTTACGCCTCGGAGCAGAGAGCACCTCCTGCTGTAAGAGAGGACAGGAGGCAGCCGGCTGCCTACAGCGCGGCCCCTCCACGACAGCAACCTCCCCCTGCTGATGATGAGGAGGAGGCCAACGACTACGACTCTGACGAAGCCAGTGAGTGCACCATCTGTGCCCCATTTCATACTGCAAGGTGGCAGATGTGTTCAGTTTAGGTTCATTTTCTGTACAGATGACATGTGGGCTTTGCTACAGGTGAATAGAAAATGTTTTTTTTATTTTTTATTTTTTTTACTGTCGCTGTAAAGAGGATATCGTGTGCTGATCGTCTTTTTCTGGCTCTATTTCCACGTTCATTGTGAACATCTGTCTGTAAATAATACATCTATTTTGACTCCTAGTGAACAAATGGGAAATTACAACACAATATGTCGTCACAGTGTCAAAGAACTAAAGCCAAGGAGAATAATAACAAGAACTAAATCAGCAGTGATTCATAAATTATTCAGATATTTTCCATAAGCTCTATTTTAAGGAAAGAGAATGGTGCTAAGCCATCAATGACTTTAGCCTGAAGCCATGAAAAGACTCCATTCTCTCTCAGGAGAGTTCTGTTTAATTTATTTTTATTTAGGTCCACGTCTTTGGAACTGTGCAAATAATTTTGAATTCAACAGGGCTACCGGGTTACAAATCCCTGGAGCTGGATCCTTTCCCTGGTGTAAAGAGGGAAGATGGCAGAAATAGCAATATTTTTATGAACCTTATCTCTGAGGGGATGGGATGGTTTGAATAGTTGGGTTCTGGGGTAATGGCAGGTTTCTGCAGTTCTCGTAAATATTGGACATAGAAATGTTTTGGTTAATAAAGCGTAGAAAAATTAATACATATGATGTGGAGTAGCAAAAGATAAATTTGCTGGTATTACAACAATCTAATATGTTCATATCTCAAAGTTTTGTTCTTTTCTAACAGAGTTTTACCAAATATATCACTAAAAAGTGAGTTAATTATGGTTGATATGTTTGTTTTTTCAATAAGTCAGTCACTTGGTACCAACAATATTAGTTGGATTACTATGATGTTTTATCCAAACAAAGTTGCACACACATTACTGTGAAGAACACGGATGATTTCTGTTATTTTCCTATAAAATATAAAACTGGGCTACATCCAATTCTTACATATGATGACATAATATCATGGCAAAGTGAGAATTTGTCAAACAGAGATCAGAATTATAATACTCATTAATACACACTTTCTTTTAATATAAAGGCATTTTCAAAAATGCAATAACGTTCACCTTATTCACTGTGTTGTGGACATGGTAAACAATGCAGTATGTTTAAATGCTCAAGCATTTCAATTTCTAAATGTAAATTTAAGAATTTTTCCACACTTAAATTTAACACAAGCCACCTTAAGTCCTGTGGAGTTGCAACCAGATAACACAAGCTTGATTCCCTCCTCCAGCCTCCAGCTCTCTGACAAGAAATAAAAACTCCTCCAAATAAAACCTGTGTGGGCGGCATAGGAATCTCTAAAACAGCTATATATATATATATCTTTTTTTTTTTTTTTACTGAGAATCATCTTCTATAGGGGGTGAAGAAAACCCTGTGACTTATCAGGAATCACGAATTGAAGATTAAAACTTGGTTAGATTTATTGTTGTCTTTATTGGTTTTTTTTCCCCTTTAATCCACCAGGCCAAACCTGTTATTTACACAGGAATGTTGATAGTTATACTTTTAACCTCTTATGTGCAGACTTTCCATCTCCTTCTTGTTTGATGCTATGTGTGGTCTGGGTCTCTTTCAGCAACACTGGGCTCTCTTGAGTTTGGCCTTCTCTACGATCAGGAAAGCAACAGCCTCCAATGTAGCATCCTCAAAGCAAAGGTACTGTTGGCCTCCTTCTCGTGCACAAAGGGACAATTTCAGTCAAGTAGTTTATACTGAAAAGCTCCTGAATGGCACTTTAGCTTAATTGCTCTCTACGATTTGTGATCTGATGAGGGTAATGCTTCGTTTCTCTTCAGGGCCTGAAGCCCATGGACTCCAATGGGCTCGCAGATCCTTATGTGAAGCTTCATCTGCTTCCTGGGGCTAGTAAGGTAAAAGCATCGACTCAAGGCTTTTCCAGACATTCAAGGACCTCAAAAACCCTGGGAAGTCTGAAAAAGTCTGGAATCTGATTGAATTATTAAGTATTTGTATTCTCCTACGATCCATCCACTTTTGTACAAGCACAGTTAAGCATTAAGCTTTTAAGTTTTAAACAATTGGTCATTTAAGTAGAGAAATATAGAATTTTGTCTAGAATGATATGTAGGAGATTTAGAACCTTAATTTCCTGTTGTTTCTTAAATACACTAAAAACAGATTTTAGACCTTTTTGCTCTGACAGGAGTTATCTATGGTAGCTCAAGCCTGACACCTTGTGGTGGTTTGGATGCAACAAAACCAAACCTGCAATCTAAACAGTCGCTTCGAGAAAGTGATAATTACTTTTCTCAATCTACCTTACATCCATCAGTCCAACAAGCTGCGTACAAAGACCCTGAGAAACACCCGCAACCCTGTGTGGAATGAAATACTCATCTATCACGGCCTGACCGACGAAGACATGCAACGTAAAACCCTCAGGTGGATTTCTGGTCCCACACAGATACACTTCGACCCACTGAGCGTGTGTTAATTTACACGCTTCATTGATTTTTGCAGGCTCTCTGTCTGCGATGAAGACAAGTTTGGGCACAATGAGTTTATTGGCGAGACCCGGGTAGCACTGAAGAAGCTGAAGATGAATCAGAAGAAGAACTTCAACGTCTGCCTGGAGAGGGTAGTGCCTGTGAGTTAAGCCAAATTTTAAAAGGAAAAGAAAAAATGAGCAAATGATTTTATCTGCTTGTTTGAATCTTTTTATCTGGCTTGTCATGACCTTGTTTCTCAACACAGACGAAGAGAACTGCGACAGCCGGAGGAGCAAGAGGAATTGCGCTCTACGAAGATGAGGCAATGATTGTTCCCAAGCATGTCTAAACGTGACCGAATCCCTCAGGAGTTTATGCAGGTGTTAGTATTCGGTCCTGCTCAACTATGTTCCTCCCATGCTGTGTCTCAGACAGGGAAGGAGGGCACGGATGCAGAGGAGCGCGGTCGCATTCTGATGTCTCTCATGTACAGCACCCAGCAGAATCGCCTCCTCGTGGGGGTCGTACGCTGCGTTCACTTGGCTGCCATGGATGCGAATGGATATTCTGATCCATATGTCAAAATGTAGGTTGAGGTGGTGAAAAAAAAAATTGCACTGTAATTAAATGATTCCAGCAAAGACATAAAGTACTTTGTGCACAATGTGTGAAATTTGCAGATGCCTGAAACCTGACATGGGGAAAAAGGGCAAGTGCAAAACACAAATCAAGAAGAGGACTTTAAACCCAGAGTTTAACGAGGTTAGAAAGCAGGAAAATTAAATGATCTCAGCTGATTATTTCTTATCAATTCATGCCTGTTTGTAAAATGCTAAGAACTTTTTTTTTTATGTCTGGATCGGATTTTTAGGAATTTAGCTTTGACATCAAACACAGTGAACTGGCCAAGAAGACATTAGACGTCTCTGTGTGGGATTATGACATTGGGAAGTCCAATGATTACATAGGTGAATATCTGATCTACCTTGAAGGACCCTGGAAAAGTACTCGTACTCCCTGAATTTCTGTACATTTTCCCTTGCTACAACCACCAGTTTCAATTGTGGCTTTAGTTGTATGGTTAGTCATTGTGCTTCTGGAAGGTGAGTGTCCACCCAACCCCAGTTTTTGCAACCTCTAGCAAGTATTCTGCACAGATACTCAGCATTTAGCTTCTTCCCGTCTTCCCATGAACTTGAATCAGTCATCTACTGAAGAAAAGCATCACCATATCATGATGCTGCCACCAGCATCATGATATTGATGCTGGTATTGGGGGGAACTGCCAAATTGGGGGGGAACTGCCAAATGTTCAGTATTGTTTTGACCTGACTACTGCACCGTCTTCCATGTTTTTTGCCTATGTAAAACAGCTGGATTTATGCTGAGATCAAATTACGCACAGTTGACCCCTGCTAAGTTATTAGAGGACCTCTCAGTACAGTTAGTTACATTAGATTTCATTTAGGGGTGTTCGATTAGAAAAGGGTTCTTGTGGGCTAAATTTCTTATATCATTTTCCTTGTACTTCACAAGTATGTGCTACTTTGTCTCCTTCATACAGTAAAAACCATATAAAATACATGGACTTTTGTGGTTGTAACATGGTAAAATGTTAAGAAAGAGGTTGAGGGACATGAGCACTTTTGCAATGCTTTGCTGTGATGCAGTAAAAATTAATTCTTTATTTGCTTCACCACCTGCTTCTCACATGAGCCCCTCCTCTCTGACAGGTGGGTGTCAGCTGGGCATCACCGCCAAAGGAGAGAGGCTGAAGCACTGGTACGAGTGTTTGAAGAACAAGGACAAGAGGATCGAGCGCTGGCACACCTTACTGAACGAGAATCACGCTGTCAGCGATTAACCATACATACAGCATGGGCTCGCACCTAATCAGTTTGCATTCATGTCTTGTTGCACTTTTACAAATGTAGTTTTTTGTTGTTGTTGTTATTGTTTTGTTTCCATATAGATTTTAACATAACCAAACACGTAGGCACTGTTTCTTCCTTCTCCCGTATAATCCCCTATTTTTGTAGTTGCAGCTCGGTCACCGATACACAATTTGCTTCTGGCACAAATCATGTTGTGCAAATGAATCTGAGGTTTCAGTAACGCGACCCAAACGAACTTTTACACTATGGAAAATGCTGCAACAAAAAAATAAAAAGGCCTTTAGAAATGCTTTGTAGTGACACATTCTTCACTGAAGTAAATGAAGCGTGAATCGCACTGGAACAGATCAGAAAAAGCAATAGGTTATAGCATCAGAACCATCGCCTAAGCTCACGAAGGCCTTAAACTGGGCCCACAACTCAAATTCATGACTTAATTGCCATGTGAAACATATAGAGCTCTATAAGCATGCCAGACCACAGCTGCACCTTAAAATAACTCGGCTGTATGGACATATTGTATATTTCCACAAAGAAATGTTTACAAAATGATACATTGCTCAGGATAGGATAGACATCTGATACAACAGATGATTCATACGTGAGTGAACCATGAGCTAGAAAAATCTGAAATGAGTTGCTGTTAATTTGTGGTTTTAAAAAAAAATTATATGTTTAAATATATATTCTGGCACACTTATATAGTTTGACAGGAGTTTTTCTGTAGTGTTACTCAAGCTGTGTGGGCTATTTTGCGTTTGTAGGGCGTAATAACTATGTGTTAAGAGAAACCGGAAAGAGATCCAAGATTCTGATCTTTCATTTAGTTTCTTTGGGAGAAAAAAAAGAAAAGAAGAGAAAACGAATAGAATCACGTCCTGCTACCTCTACTCGTTCAAAGCTCGCGGTTCACTCTGACACCTCAGAGGGTTTTTTACTGCACTGTTTACATTGAATACACATGTTTAAGTCTGCTACATGTTTACAGAAGAGAGAAGACGGAGCAAGTCATGTCAAAAGTATGTGCAGTCTATATCTGCATGCACTGTGCTTGTGACTCTCATGTGCCTGGGGCATTCTTAGCCCGCTTTTACCCCAAACATTCCTCTCTTTTCCCCCTGGCTCGCTCTCTTCCACTCCCTGATTATCCAAGGCTTAAGTGAGTGTTTGTTCACTAATTAAAGCAAATCAAGGAAAGCACACCTTACACAGTGGAATGACCTCTATTTATACAGTAAATTGTCTGCAAGTTATTCCAATGTGACAACAAAGACAAAAAAAAAAAAAAAAAAAAAAAATCCTATGCATGGAAATGTCTTGTGATTAAAGATGTAAATATATAGATATTTAGATAGATATATCACTATCTGTCTACATATATATATATACATATATATATTTACACTTTGTTAGAAATAAATGCTATTGTACCTTCCTTAATGTTTACAGTTTTCACCATGACATTCCTACTGATATGGAGGCCATACGCTGCATGACTATGATTACTATGGTTTAATCTGGATGAACCAGTTCGCTATTTCACAGAGGATTGACAGAAAGTCAACTGAGCACATCAACATAAGATGCCTATGAGTAGCAGATCAATCTTAGCGTTTAACCGAGCGATCCTGTACATGCACATTCGAAGCTTACCAGTGTCTTGTTTTCTCAGTAAAGAGCAATGCCCAGATGTGGCAATGACCTTGTTCTACACTGTGCTACGTCAACAACTGTGATCATGATGAGGTGATCATCAATCGCTTGTAAAAACAAAATCGACAAAAAAATAAATTAAATAAAAGGCTTCTCTGCGAGCTGAAGTTATATCTGCCTTCTCCCTGGTTCTGCTTGTTCTGTGGAATGTTCCTCAATCTCTGTCTTTGTACATAGATAGTGCATGAAGTTGAAATCTGTATGTTTGCTAATAACTTTGCATGGAAAGGTTTTGCAGAAAGTTTACACAGACAAATAAAATCTGATGAAAATTGATATTTGTTCTTTTCATTTTTTATTTTTTATTTTTCTTTGCCTCTGCAGAGAATATATGTATCACATTGCAGCAGTCCCTGCAATATAATTACGGTTGCATGTTAAAAAGACTACCTGGATGGCCACACCATCTTAGCTAAAATTGTCTGCAATGATGTTGCTGTTGCAATGTTTTCCTAATATGCTGTTGGGGTAGAAATGTGCTAAGATGAAATAGTGCACAGCAAATAACAAAGATAGCTCTAATATGAGCAAAAGTTTTTATTTTCATTATGTATTTGAGTCTCTAAGAGCTGCACGAAAACAGTGACTCTTCTGTCATGTAAATGTCCAATTGCTTACCTTCCAAAAATAATAGACGGCAGAGTTATGGGCTCTCACATTCATCTGAATCAAAGTACAAAATTATGCAAATAACTTAGATGAAGCATAATCAGCAATGTAGCTCATTCACAATAACGTTTCAGTGAGTGTTGTAACAACACCTCGTTATTTCCCATCTTACATATTTCGAGTTTCCATCAAGTTGAGTTCATTCCAAATTTAGAGCCTTGATACGATTTTAGGGCCCATTTAACTTAAAAGCAAATCAGGACGCATACAAAAGTGGCCCCATCTAGAGGACTAATTCAGGCCTCGCACACGATTTCTTATTTCACTGGAATGTGATCACCTGAGTGTCATATTTCTCAAAATCCACGAACCAATAAGAACACCTTTCATTTCCTGAATTATGCCAGAGACATAAGCATTTGCTAAAAAAAAACCCTCCTCAGATGTCTCAGTAATCGCAAAAAAAAATGCATGCATGCAGACATTAACTAAAGGACTTGGTCGCCCACACACGGGGATGGAAAGCGGATGGTTCCTTCGAGCTGTTTTCGTCTTACCATGGCTCGGTTTCTCCAAAACACAACACACACCTGCCCCAGGTGTGTCCTGCCTCCGATCGAGTCCAGCCGACGGACACACGCTCCTCACCTTTCTGCGCCACGGTGCCCACGGCGCGCGCTTCTTGTATTTCACCAAGTGGTCTGACGACCTGCGGCTGGCACGCTGCGAAATCTATTCAAATCCAGATAGCACCGGAGGATACCGGGCCTTTTGCAACAGAAATGTGACCTGGGATGAAGAACTTGTTAAGAAGTTTAACATCAGTGGGTTGCTGTTCGCAGACTCTCCGTGCGCACTCGGACCTTCCGTAGGTCCCACACCGGAGCTCACCGGGCGGAGAAGGGCTGACGAGACAGAGACAAAAACCCGGAGGAAACGGTCCTGGATATTTCCAGGCACGTTATGGTGTGGCACTGGAAGCAAAGCGGCCGGATACGAGCAACTGGGTGAGGATGTTGAATTGATTGATGCATTTAAACACGGGGTTGATGTTTTTTTTTTATATATATATATATATATATATATATATATATATATATATATATATATATATATATATATATATATATATATATATATATATATATTAGTTTTTTTCTGTTTTTATTTCTCAGATAGTCCACATTAAGTTTGTTTGTTTTACATTGTTTGAGACATTGCAGCTTTTGTCTTCTGCCTCTGGTCCTGCTCCGCATCTCCAGAACCAGAACCAAAGTTTTGAGAAGCGGCGTTCAGCAAATCTGGAACAAACTTCCAGAAAACTGCAAAACTGCTTATCAGTTTTGAGTTCCTTTAAAATCTGCCCCGAAAACCCGGCTGTTCAGAGTTGCTTTTGAAACATAACCATAAAACATTAATCAATAATCTGATGTGTAATGCAAAAATGTAATGTTGGTAAGGGAAAAGAGTGCAAGGCAACAAACAGCACAGCTATTCTCTCCCTACAAATGTTATTTTATTTTAATTGTTTTCTTCCAATTTTGTCACATTCCGAAGGTAAATTGAGCTAAATTTAGGGCACTCCCAGCACCAAGCCAATGAAAAGTGGCAAAAGACTTTATTCTGGGGTGGAGGTTCACCTTACGGCATATGGCCCAGTCAAAGTCCAGATACATGCAAAATGGGGAATTTGACTGTGGCAACACTTGAAAATGAATGTCCACTTTCTCTCCATGTGCATTCTTACTGAGCATGAGCTGATTTACAAAAACAAAAAAATAAAAATACGCATTTTCTAGAGTCGCAGCTGTAATAAGGCCACAAGGTGGCGATAATAAGTTCTGATTCAGAGGGTCTGAGTGCAAATGGACACCAACCCATCTGTCCATCCGTCCGTCTGTCCATTCATTCATTCATTCTTTTAATAAAAGTTATCAATCCTTAAATGAAAAGGACGGGAAAAATATGTCCCAGATAATATCTATCCTTTTCATTTCCCAACGTGACAAAATTTGAAAAGGGAGTATTTGAAAATCATAGTGGATATTCTCATGTTTTAAAAGAGAAATCAAATATCCTGGTAAAGCATTGTTGATCCAGTTACCTCAGTGATTTTTCCCCCCCACCTTAGACATGTTGGGTTTATTTGAAAACTGCTGCCTCCCACCTCAAAATCAATTTGAATTAAAAAACTGAGCTCAGATCTTGAACTTTCTTCATGCAAGCAGCCTTTGACATCAAGGTCGCGCTCTCGTTCGCAGGCATGTTCGAGAGAGCAGATAAGTGTTGCCGTGAACACGACCACTGCTCAGACATCATTCCGGCTTTCACAGTGAATTATGGAGTCTTCAACCCCAATTTCTTCACAGTCTCACACTGCGAGTGTGACCAAAGGTGAGCCTCGGCATGCACCATTTAAAGTGAGTCTGGATTTCATACATGTGTGCCTTCCAGGAAAACTCCTGCAAGCAGTAAATTATATCCCTTATACTGCTCTGGCAGAACACAGAGATGCTTTGAGGCAACACTTTTGCAAGTTTTATGGCTTTACATCCTCATATTTCAATTCTGGAATGTGCTATATGATTTCTCTTGATGTCAAAAAAATTGAAACACACTTCAAACACACTGCTAAAAATCTGGAGATGTTTTTCTATTATCAAATTAGCTTCATGGCAACCAGTCTGAAGGCAAAAATTTTCTTTCAAGAGTGAACATGTTTTCTATAATGTCAGTCATTCAATGGGCATTCCTTTCTTTCCATCCATTCCCTTATTTATGTATTTTTTTTTTTGCAGTGATGGAGATGGCTATTTTATTCTGACATCACATCTAATGTTGACATCTGCATCACATCATTCTTCTACTTTTCTCATGTCAGTTTTTCAGATAGCAGGTTATTATTTCGCTCAAGCAAGAATGATCTCAGAAACAGAATAAAACAAGGCAGCAGTAAGGAGCTCTTATTTGAGCGACCGAATATTTTGTTAACCTTTGCCTGCTCTCCATTTGTCAGGTTTCGACAGTGCCTTCTGGGCATGAATGACAGCATTTCAAGTATGGTGGGCTACAGCTTCTTCAACATCCTGAAGGTTCCCTGCTTTGAGCTGAAGCAGCTGAAGCACTGCACACAGATGTACTGGTGGGGAATGTAAGGGAGGCAGACGCACTGACGCTTTTGCTTTGACTTCATATTTATAGGCAGAACATTTGCTTTCAAGAAAAACAGGAATTTTCTTCATGGATATGTAGAACTTCTTACTAATTAAACTCCAAATTTTAACCAAGTTTTTACTCTGCAGGCATATCTTGGTCTCAAGAAGAGTCAAAAAATTTGAAATGTTTAAAAGTCAAAGAAGTAATGGTCAGAAGGAATCTTTTTAGAATATAAAACAAACATTAAAATTACACGGATTTTTAAAATAAGTTTGCATCGTAATTGGTACATCAGGTTTTGGCTTTTAGGCGTCATGTATTAATAATGACTTTATGTTTTACTCACACTGTGACACAGCACTGTATAGTATTTTCCCCAAACTCACTACAATAAATAACCAGAATTTAATTTCTGTCTTCTTTTTTTTAAGTAATAAAAATAGGACAAAGATCAAATCTTTACAATGAGGGGATGGTTGCAATTTCTTGGAAGCAATGTTCTATACTGTGGAACAAAATATCAAGCAAGTCATTTCAAAAAGTACACTGATATCAGAAAAAAGAACACACTGAGCCATTTTGAGATACATCTTGTAGCATTACTGTTATTTGGTTGAAGAAACTCTTGGGGTGAAAGTCTTCCTTATTACCCTTTAATATCAAAACACTGTGGGGTTCTGTAATATTATCTGTCACAAGTATTAGGAGGCACTGCGGATGACCCAAAGAGCCACAGCATTGTAGTTTAGACAGTGAGCCTCCTTCCAGTTTGTGCTGTAGACATTTGAGTCATTACTGCCTGAGTTGTGGGTGCATTATTCCATATTCCTCTTATGGTACTACCTTTCTTTCCCATATCAAGAGGAACAGTAGAGACTTGTCGTATGTGTGGGTGTATATTGTATAATGTTGGGTTGATTTTTACCTCTTCTTTTACTAATATGTGAAACAACAGAAGCTCCTCCACCAGAGGGCGAAATAAACACGGGTGTCAAAAATGTTGCAGTATGGTGGGTTTTACTCCATATCCAGAGGTTATTAGTCCTCGAAGCAGGTTTACTCCCTACTTTTCCTCTTGCTGAATGTCTTCCTCCCTTCTCTCTTGAATATATCCTGTCTAAAAAGGGCAAATAAAGACCACTAGATCAGAAATTTGCACAGCAATCGGCTGTGCCTGCTTTCAGAAATTGCACAGTATCCTTTTTTACATTCCTGACCAATGATTGTAAGCTGTATAATTTGTTGCGATTTTAATGTTAAGCTGCATTATTGCTGCTGTGAGATTGTACTTTAACCTTAGTTAAGTTTTTAGCTTATTTTTAGTTCATGTTGCCCCGTGGCTCTGGAGACCATTATTTTGCACCTCTGTATGCTGTGTATATTACTGAAATTAAATCTGATTTGACTAGACATACAAAAATATCTTTGAAAAACAAGTACATTTGGCATTATTAGGATGACAAAGTGGATTTATCCACCTAAGTGTTTCCATTTCTAAATTAGTGCTGTTGCTTCTTTAGTTTTTTTAATCTGTCTAATTGAAGTGAAGCAGCTAAAATATAATATTTTTATTTCATGGCCTAACTCTGTGCATGTTTTCTCTCAATAGGTGCAAAAAGGCCAGTGAGGCTCCTTATGCCATCTTCAAAAGCCCCCAACCTTACAACAGCTCTGATGTTACAGGCAAACATGTTCACACAGACAGCAAGAATTTGACAAGCAGTAAAGAGCAGCATTTATCTGAGAAGCCTGCGTCTAAACCTCAGAGGAAGGCACAGCAATCTAAACGTAGATGTGGCCTCAGAGACCCACCTAGAGGAGATACGTTTCACCGCAGAAGGACAAAGGGCAATGGATGCAAAAGGCAAAAAAATCTCTCTAGAGAAGGACCTTCACAAAAGCCCAAAACAGTCAAAAAGGTACATATAGGCGAAAAAATTAAGAAAAGAAGAAAGGACTTTTCTGGTCTTTTACAGAAAAGTAGCATTCCACCAGCCATCCCTACAACTGCCTCGACACAAATATCACCCAAAGCAATACCTTCACATTTTTCAGCGTTAACGAAGAGCCTGAATTTTCCGGAAGACTTGAAAAAAGTCAAAGGAGTAACCAAACAAGCAAAAAGTAAAAAGAAAGCCCCAAAGCACAGTAAATGCTGTGGATCCAGTATGTCTGTGAGCAGTGATATTCCTCGCTTGCACTGTAAAATCTGTGTAAAACAAACAGCAACTCCCACAACAACCGTTAAGCCGACAAATACATATGCAGGGGGACGACCAGTCAATCATAAGAGAACACGTTTGAAATATAAAGCAGGAACACCCGGCCAGGAAACTCTAGCAACTATTTGGAGTGCAGCTACGGTTGCAACACCCATTACAAGAGAACAAAAGATGATGGCCTCTCTTCATAAAAAGGACAAACCACAAAAGCATCTATTGTGGAAGCAGGCAGGTCAGCAGCCCTTGGGTCATACTACCACCCAAAGGGTCCGTGCAGAGAACATCCTGGTACAAAATGATGGGAAACGTAATGTGACAGGTGAGTGAATGTGGTTACACTCCCAGAAGTTTTGAAGCAAAAGGATGGCCTGCTCACACGCAGCAATTAGACCAATATCAATTTCTGCTTCTCTTTGTGGTGAATATAAATATTGTTCAATTCTTATTTCTTTTCGGGAGCTTTTTGCACAATTTTCTTACTAAATCCCCAAATTGAAATGCCATTTGGTGGTTCGGCTTTTAATAGTCTCTCGGAAATTCAAATTAACTAGTTCAGCTGCGAATATTTTATGTCGGATTTGGTTGTGACATTACTATGTATAACTTTTGTTTTGATATTTTCTTGTCTGTTTGGTAGGCATATGGCTTATAAGGAATCCTCAGTGAAAGATGACATGACAGTTTTAGCTTTTTACTGGAAAATACTAATGTCTGGCTGTTTGGCCGAATGAAAACTACAACTAATATTCGTTTGAAATGTTTTACTTTCAAAGATTACTTTCATTCTGACAAACAAGCCTTGTTGGAATGCATATTCTAATTTACATGTACATGTACATGTACATATATACCCCCAGTAATATTTGATTAAATTTCTTTGAGCAAGAACCTCTTGAGTTTTTGTAGCCGTCAGCAAGCTGCAGAATTCTGGACAGATATTTGACAAGTCTTCTTGGTTCTGCTAAACACTCTTCTCATTGTGATCAAATACATAGTTTGTATCTTTTCTGAACAAATCTTTTATTTAAAAAAATCTTTGGCGCCATGTGGAGAGTTGCAAATATGTTTCATGCTTTAGGATGTCACATTTGGAGCAGGCGCTTCTTTCTTGGACAACAACAACCCCTTTGTACATGCTAATGCTAACTAGCTTTTCTATGTTCCATCTTCCATTTTTTTATAGTCTTAAGAATTTGTGGTTTCTACATTGTTCCTGAACCTCCTAGGAAATTTCCTTTTGTAGTTGAGTGAAAGTTTGGATCAGACGGTTGAAACTTCGTTTAAAGATACTTGTTCGTTTTGGCGTCATCAGATAATGAACTCCTGTGCCGAAGCCTCAAACATCTGGATGATTGTAAATTTAAAATTCCACCTTTGGAGAAGAAATATAATCTGACAAACATGGAGTCCAAGACAGCCTATCATTGTGACTGCACAAGCCGGTAATAATGTTTCTTTCACTCTCAGTTATATTCCATGTTTTTATTCACATTCCCAAATGGTGATGTGTGAATTTATTGATGCTTGTGAATTTGTCAAATCTCATACAAGACAAACAATCTTGCTTGGGTTTTCCTGATTCCGCAGTTTGGCAGTTCAAATCAGAAATGTAAAGAAACCAAGTCCTCTTCACTCTCTCTTGAGGGATTTTGTTTCTCGAGACTGCTTTACTCTGCCAAAGGAGAATAAATGTAATCGCACAAAGAGGTACCAAACTTTAAAGTGCTTGTCTGAGCTACGTATCTTGTCTGAAGCCTACACACAGATTGTCTGTAGAACTAGTTATAAGACTGATTTCACTAGTTGATATTTTTTTATGTTTCCCTTCTAGATGTTCTGGAGGTTTCACTAAAGCCTCTGAACTACATCAAGCACTTAAGAAGAGAGAAGAAGAAAAAGACTCTGTCGCGATGAGATTTTCAACTAGTGGCAGGAAAAAAAGGATTCCTCTATGTCTTCATAAGTATTGCCTAAGGCTGCAGTTGAGAGCGGATATCATGGCGCAGCTCAAATAAATATAGACTGAGCTCTGTGCAGTAACTAGGCTGCTTAAGAGCTTCATCATCTTTCATGGAGAACTATTTTTTGAAGATGAATTCATCTTTCGCTACCAAAAGAAACAAGTTTTGACATGAATGTGCTTCATGCAATTCCCTTATTTTTCCCTGCTCACAGAAATGCCTTCTTTGGTTTATCAGAAAAAAATAAATGACCCAGTATTTTTTGCACAAGTCTGAGAGTGTGCCTGCTGTAAAGGTTGATAACATGGAGGGTTGGAAAACTTCTTACTTCTTAACCACAGTTTGTGGTGTGGTGCATCTTGTCACTTGAAATCTTCTGCATATTACTGTCCAATTGTGTGAAGTTTTATATGTCAATCCATCAGAAATAGAGCAGCTTCAAAGACAATTCCTGGTCTCTGTACCTTGGAGAACTGGCTGCTGAGCAGATACGTCCAGTGTGAATTTGTTAGTACAAAATATGAAGGGCATACTATCTTTGATTAGCACCTCTGATGCGTATGGAATGCCAGAGTGGCCGAATGATTTGAATGGGCAACAGGCCAATGATTTGCAAACAACACATATTTTACACATGACAGAAATTGAAAAAGTAAGAAAAAAAAATTGACCTCACTGGACATAGGCAAACTGTCCTTGTTTGTTATTCTGGATGTCTGTCACTTTAATGTCTCAGAACATTAAACCAATTTATATATTAGCCAAAGACAATAGAAGTTGAACAAGTTGTACATTTATAAGGAAGAAAAAAAAAATCAAACTGACATGGTGGAAAGTGATTGCCCACTAAACCTACTAACCTACAAAAAGAAAATCAGGAAGGGGGAAAATTTCACACGTGTGTATTCTTTACAATTATTTGTTGGTCAAATAGGAATTATTAAGCTTCTTCTGTCAGCATTTTTCACAACTCACATCTGTGGAAATCCATCAATTTTCCGATTTGATCAGAAAGTATTTTCTTAATTCGGAAAAAATAAATAAATAGACAAATAATGAAAACCTCATACTGAGTCATGTGTATGAATGAGCTCATGAATTTTTGACAGCTATTCTTCTGGCGCGATGCATGCTGGGAGCCGTCAGTTGGCCTTGGAAACATGGCCTGGTGACTCCCGTTATCTCCTCCAGGCTCTGACACAGCGGCTTGGCCGGGACCGGAGCTGTCTGCGAGCACGTTTTGAACGTGAAATGAGATCGCCAGAGATGCAGTTTGGGCCCTGAATGGACTGTTGTGCAAAAAGCGACGCGGTAGCTGGCTTTAGCGCGAGTGTCACGCCCACCGTGGTCGGTAACGTTAAAACGGTACCGTACGGTAAGCTAGCTCAGCTCCGGCTACCCAAGGCAACCCAGGCAAAAAGCAGCGGCTAGCGCGGCAGGGATGTAGTGTGGAGCGGGGCTGCCGGCGCTGGTTGCTCGCTGTCGGGTTGTCGTGTGTTGGGGTTCCTCCCAGTCTGCTCCGCCAGACTCCGCCGTCAGATAAGACTGCGACAGTTAAGGCAGTTATGTTGTTGTAGGTGGTTAGCAGGCTGTCTGGGGCGTTTCTGACTTTCTGCCACTGAATGTTTAATGTTTGCCTCTTTCGGCATCACTGTCGGAGGAGAGAGTGATGGGCTCCGGGGCTGTGGACTCGTCCCAGTGGCTTTCGGTGAAGGAGGAGACGATATTTCTCCATGACGGACTCATACGGGTCACGGATCTGGCCGAGCTGCCCAGTGAGATCGGAGTGTCGGAACAGGGAGACACTGAGCAGGAGGTGGGTGAAAGCCGTCTCTCTCTCATAGCATGTACCACACGATTATAAATAGAGCCGTTCCCACGCAGAGGGTCTGGGGAGAGATCTTTTCGTTTATTAGCTTGTACAGTGATTTAGTCTCAGGGATCACAGCAGCACCGACGTTTGCAAGTTTTCTGCTTTGCTTGTTATCGACTCACTGTCAGAGCCCAACTGTTTCCCTCCTGCTTTCAAAGTAAAAGCTTTACCGCAATCGCGAATGTGGTTGTGTAACATTAGTCTTAAACTTACCAAGCATCTTACATTTCAGTACATTTTTAGGAAGATCAAGTTATTTTGTCCTTCTTAAACTCTTCAAAGGATCCACGTAAAGTAAAATATTAAATGGTGACTATTGCCTTCTATAAGAGTGTAATATATATATACAAAACATGTTTTGTTTTAATTTCATTTCGCTTGTCTTCCACACCTTTACTCCTAATACCTACTCGAGTTAGTTACTTAGTTGAGAGTAGATGGATAAATGGAGTTGTTTATTATGTCTGGTAAAATGCCGACCTGATTTTCTTTTGAATCAAACCCGGATATTGTCTTAGGGTTAAATTCGTCCAACTTTGGAATGATGACTATTGAAACTTCCAGCTGCAGTAACAATGTATATTTACAGCCTCGATGCTTCAGTGTGTAAGCTTCTTAATATATAATCGTGTGCTTGTGCTGCCTCTCTTATTGTAAAGGGCATGATGTCACATGTTTATGAGCCTGATGTCTGGTCTTTGTATGCTGCCACAGGATTTCAAGCTGGATAATAGCTTGAAATTCATTAAAAAAAGAAGATATTTTAGCATTTGTTCATTGTGCAATCAACAAATCTTATCAACTTGTTCATCCCTTTATATATTTAGTCTGTCATGTAATCACAACATATTATTTTATTCCCCCACACCCCTGGAATTGGTCATTTAACTTGTGATATAATTAATCTGTTTGTCATTTGTTTTCCTTAATTTCAATGTAATACTAGTGTCAGACTGAGCACACACAACGGATAACATGCTGTGGTTTTTGTTCAAGTTACATGAATGCCAGAACCATAGATGAGCTGTGTACCTGTTTGAAGCTTTTGTGCAGATATATATTTATAGGCATTGTGGCCTTGACCCGTTGCATCGTCCTTGAACAGTGGCCCTCAAAGTGTTAAGTAGAAGTACCACCTCACTAAATACCACATTAGTGTCAAATAGAAATTACAAGTAGGAAAGATGAACAAGAAAACATCACAAGTCAGAGTTCATGAAACAGACGTTTTCTCACCAACCTGGACCTCAAAATTCACTACGGCTGCTGCGAGTTTAAAATGACGGTGAAAACTGCCATTAAAATTTTTTTACCACATTGAATTGAATCAGAAGCTTGGCCTAAGGTGGATTCGTATTTTAATAGCTGTTTGAGTTTGTTAGCTTTCCATTACAGTTCATTTACTTGGGAATAATTTCTCATCTGAGTTCGACTAAAGCCAGCTCAAAGCAGAGCAGGTGGTACTTGCACCACCCTTTTTTAAAAATTATGGGCTTACAACACTTTGCAGATATATTTATGACATCTCTTCTATTAAATTATTCAATATCCATGTAGCATACAGCATGGTTTATCCATCTGAGGTGGATGTATTGGAGACAGAACATTGTTAGAGGAGCGGTGCAGCATTATGTTTACATCAGTGCCAATTACAATGCATTTGTATGATATCTGATCAGCTCATAGATACAGCAGTTCAAAACTGTTCACATGTAAGCTACATTTCTGGTTCTTTGTCGTTAAGAGATTAGACAGCATATTTTCCCAGGCTGTTCAGTATGATGTGACCTCATGTAGAAAAATAAAAAAAACAATAGAGGTGGTTTATCCGTTTCATGTTATTATTATGAAATTCACTGCATATCTTGGTCCAGTGTCCATTTCTAAGGCTGGCTTAGTAATTTAGTTCCATTCCGTAGGTGTTGCAATTCTGGCTATTTTTATCTGACGCCGAGAACGAGTGGCAGCACTGTTTTCCAGACCAGGGTGGAGAAGGGCCAACATCCAGTGAAAGAGTATTACTGTAACATAAGAAGCAGTGCTGAAATTGAATCAATACAAATTGTGCCTGCTAAATGGTATAAATGGATTTTTTTTTTGTGGCCTATGATTCGTGTGCTGCAGAATGTAATCAATATGTGAAATGCTGCCTAAGTGCACATGAGGCACATTGTTTCACTTTTGATATGTTATACCTAATGATCTTTGCTTTCGCTGACCATTAGACCAAGGCACTGTAGTTACAAGACTTTTATTTCCTGGATATGATTCAACACTTTAGTCTGTACAGGGGAAAAAAAAGCATCTAGCAATTTAATTGCCTTAATTCTACAGTGTTACTTTAATTTCATTTACAACTACGTGAAAGATTTTTGATAAATAAAAAATGGTTTTGAAGAAAGAAGACGAGGCACACTTTACAACTCAAAAATTTGTAAATTTGACACACATTTATTTACAAATAATTACTATATTTATATGTATTTTTTACTATTTTGCTGTAGGTTCATAAGGTCTTTACATCTTCTCATTCTTATTGTACTTAAAGTCTAATTCTCTTCTTCAGATTCTTACTTTTGAGACAAAGAACCCCGTTGAGCTCGCAGAGCGTCTCCGTGCCGTCTGCGGGAATCAGAGCAATGCATACGCTCGTCTGCTGGAATACCGTCTCAACGCTCTGCGTGGCCTGTGGGCGGCGCAGAGGCAGCTGGCGCTGGAGGAGCAGCAGGACCGTGAGGGAACAGGAGGGGCTGATGAGGAGACCCTGGCCTTACTCAAAAGGCAAGGTCTCCTCCAGCAACCTGAGCAAGCTCCTTTCACTTCGCGTGTTGCCCTACTGCTGGTCTTCCCCCTGCTGCAGTCCCAGACTCGCAGCGACCCAGCACTCTGCGGTGTGACGGCAGAAGTACTGCTAGCCTGCCTCCGGGACTGCCAGCCGCTCAGCCTCAGCAAAGAACCTTCAGACTGTCTAAATGGCCTAGAGGGCTT